GCAGACTATCTAATTTTTCTTTCCAAATTTACATTTCATATTGATCGCTTTCATGTTACCAGATAACTAGTCACATTTACAGGAATACACAGATATAAGATAAATACCAATAAAATATGTACAACAATTATTTCAATTCCAGACATGAATGTTATTTATAAGCATAATGAGAACACAGTATAAATAATTTGATAGACCTTGACAAATTGTATGTAATATTGGATGTTTTAAAATCTGACTATGAAGACTCAGTGGTTCAAATAGTGTGTAAGTAGGGCGCCTAAACCCTATCTGAAAACTAAAGATGCATTTCCAAATTAAATCCATTTAGTTCAGCATGAAACAATTGTGAATATAATAGCTTTGTTTTTGGATATGATGATATTCTTTTTCTAACAAGACTAACCATCGACATGATAAGTAATATTTGTAACTTCTTCCTAACACCAAACTGCATAAGCAATAGCCACATCTTGAGCGATGAAACCCATTGACGTTTGGTTTATTTTATAAATTACCCTTGTTTACTCGATGTTACAACACTTACAACTTTTATTAATGTGCCAAATCCATTATTTTGATCATTTTTAAAACTTAAATCGATTTTATAAACCAATTTTAATTCATATTACCATTTGATTTTTCATAAGCCTTATAATAGATTATTTTGTTGTCAGTTTTAAAGTGTGCTAATATATATATTGTTATTGATAACTTATATTATCAGAAAGGGGTTTTGTGGATATTACATTGGCTTAATAATTGATTTCATCGGTCAACTGAAGTTAGACCATCATGGAAAGCCTGGAAGCACTAGATGGCCGTTTCGTCCTAGTGTGAAACTCCCCAGCAGTGTGCATCCATGATTCCGCCCTGCGGGATTCAAATACAGGACATATCGGTCTCTCGTGTGAATGCTTAATCTCTAGACCACTGAGCCGGCATCCAACGGTGTTAATATTTAACTTTAACCAGTCCATGAAATTGAGCATCTATTGAAAAGAATCAAATATAAATAAATGAGTTAGTTGTATTCTTAAAACTGTCATTATATATATAGCATTTCTTCTCACTTCTAATAAAATATTTTGTCGTCCACATCAACAGGATTTGATTTATTAATAATTTACTTATAGAAAATATAATTGAATGTATATTGATAAATATTCCATTTAAAAAAACATTCATTCATTCACCACAAAACAAACAAAATTTATTAATAGCAAAATTATCGTCAACATATCAAATTGGATTAGAAAGCTAGAAGCTTTTTTCTTATTCATCTATCGGCATTATATTCCCTATAGGATTTTATCAAATTTCGTGCTCAAAATTTGTTTTCCCTATGTCAGCACACTATTATTATTGCCATTATTACTATTGTTATTATTATGATTATTGTTAGGCAAATACATTGTTTATCTCAATCACTTTCATGTGTCCAAAATCTAGGATATATCTGTTTATAAAATGAACTGTCAGTATTAAAATCACCTAACGTTTTTGAATCAAAGATATTCAGTATTCTGTTTCACTTGTTATGAATGGATAGATTATATATTTGTCCTCAAACTACAAATGGTGGTAATATATAAACATCAGATTGAATATGGCTATGCATCTATATTTTGGCGCACATAACTCTTTAGCAATAATCCACAAAGATGGAACCTGAAACTAAGGCAGAAAGGAATCACACATTAAGTGAAAACAAAATTAAAGCTTAATAACATCACATATATATTTATAGTAGCCAAAAATAACCTTGGCATAAAAAAATTCAGCAAAGTAAAAATGGAAACAATAAGGCAGGAAAAAATTAAAAAATTTTGAGAAAAACGGAAAAACATTTACTTATGATTTCTGTTACAAAAAAATGAAAAAGTATTTATTAATCAAGAACTCAGTGACGAACGATCCTGTTAGCATGTTAATCATCAGTTACACTATAACGGTAATATACAAATATATGATATTTATAATCATTTCACTGGTAGACTTATTTTTATATTCCTAAACATTTGTCATGAATATATCTTATTTAAAGTTGTTTACTTGAATTTCCAGCATAAACTCATTTAGTTGTCAATATAGAGTTTCGGAAAGTTTCTAGGAAGATAAATTAACGGCAAACAATTAATTTTTACAAGATCGTAATTCATCCACCTTTAGCTAAAATATAGAATACCGTAAATAAATTTTCTTCTACATTATGAAAGCAAAATTCACCATAGCACTTGAGGATTTAAGGCATATATATCCTTAATGAGTTTGAAATTTAGATTAAACACGATTCATCATAGTGCTATCACATTTCAATTCAGGCTCGAAAAAGTGATTAATTGGTAAAGACTTCTGTATTTGGAAAACAAATGTAAAGGGCTGTAGTCAGGTTTTTAACACCGGATAATCATTCAAGAACGCACTTATATATTACTTGTATGATTATGGGATTATAATTTCACACAATCTTTCATTAAATTTGACGAAATCTGATAAAGCTCAGTAGTCTAAAGGGTAAGCGTTCTCCTGAGAGACCGAAGGTTCTGTGTTTGAATATCGCCTGCGGGATCGTACATACGCACTACTGAGGAGTCCCATACTAGGAAGAAATTTCCGTTCAATGCTCATAGGTTTTCAATGGTGGTCTAACGTCGATCGATTCATGAAATCGACCGACTACATAACCTATTTTGGTTACTGTATTTGTGTTACTTGCAAGTAGTTAAAATGGACATACTCAAATATTTGCGTAGCCAGCCTGAATGTTCGTAAAGTTGATAAATTAGAAATTTGATTCTGAAAATATAACCCAAGATACAAATATTTACATTTGAAAAGATAAAATGTCTATAAAGTCCGCAAGTTGAATCCAATTGTGGTTTTCTGTTAACTACTTTTACAGCCGAAAATCAAAATATGAAATAATACAACAGCTTATGATCGTTGTGTTGTAAACAAAAATGATCTAAAATTATCAGTCATGTAGTGACCTATAGATTGACAAATCAACCAGATGTTTCAATCAAGGAACTACATCATTGTACACGTACAATATGTGGCTCTAAATAGAACATATGAACTTATATGAAACCAATAATCTGCACTGAGTAAATCTTGGTCAACCAGTGAAAATTCTAACACCTTTAGAACAATATCTTAAGGTGAATAGACGGAATGAAAATATTATAATCCGAAGTAAAAATAATTCATTTTTCTATATGAAACGGAAGATCTTAATCTACTTATTATGCGCTGGTGAGTGTTATGTTATAAAAAGTCTTTGAAGGTCGAGAAAACTGGAACTTATTTTATTCTAAACTGAATATTCTTTTTTACAAGCTACAATTCCACATTTACTTATCAGCATACATTGAGTCAAATATTTTCAAACGTTTATTGAAGATTGACGGCAGCATTTAGATCTTCTAGAAGACAGAAAGCAAATAATTGCCATTAGTAAAAGGAAATCACTTACAAAACAGGAAAGTTGTAAATAAAATTGTAAAATTATGTAATAGACATCAAACAAATCTGGTATTTCTAAATCTGCAGTAAACGTTTCTTTAAGGCGTGGAAACAAACATTATTTTTCCTATAAAAAAGGTTCCAGCCTTAAATCACGAATATCACTTCCTTAAAACAATAATTGGACTATTCTGTTATAGAACGCGTTTTTTATGTGACTCACAAAATCATCAGTAACCAAGAACAACTATCTGTTACTAAGAGAGCTCTATTCTGCACATTACCTAGTTGTACGTCAATTTTGAAAAGACGAAAGGTTCATATACAAATTTCAAAGCACCTAATTTGACCCTGTTCACATAGCTATTACAAGTGGATTTACTTTAAAATTAATTGTATTAGTGTCAAAATTATAAAGTCAGTTGAAATGCTTTCCAAGCAAAAGTAGAATTTTATACATTTTGTAAGATCTATTGTCAACAAAACGCTTGAACTGAACCTGTGAATTCAGAAGTAAACAGATAATCATTTGAATAAATCACTCCCCAAATCACCTTAAATATATTTTCACTTCCAGTCTCATTCAATTTAAATATGTTGAAGCTCATCGTGTGATTTTTACTCAGAGACCTTCAAAATGTTGTGTAAATTGTCAAAAAATATCGTTAAATTTATGGTGCAACTTATTGTAACAATGTCCCGGTCCTGATTAATTCTTGTGTCACATTCTCATTCTTAAACATTGTTTCAACGATCTGATTTACAAACAAACACAACGATAACCTTTCATATTTTATGTCCTCACAGTTAGGTTAGGTTACGTGACAATACTGTATGTTTTGTTGTCTCATTTAGTCTCACTAAGCGCATTGAAGTTTTTTATAGTAGATTGTAAAATTGAAACGTGTTTCTTGATTTTGTTAGGCTTAAACACAAAAATTGACATATTGGTGAATACATATCGTGATAATGATGAATTAATTAGTTAACGTTAGGGTTTAAAATTAATTTATTTTTTAATTTTCAGGGGAATAAAAACGCCAATATACTTATTTATAAATGAATGTTTCTAGCAAGCTCAGTGGACATGGTATATGCTTATCTACTTGTGAACGTTGTAAATATCTCCTGCAAAACTAAACTTAAATTTATATTTCAAACTTAAAAGTTCGTCTCAATTTTAAGTACTATAACATACTATATCTAGCTAGTTCTAAAATACGAGGTTTCACTGAACCAGATTCGCTTTATTTTATAATTCGATGATTATAGGCCATATGAATCAGCTCAAAAACTGACCTGATCATATGTAATAGGTCATTACTATGATCAGAAAAAAATTGAAATCATTGCCAAAGAAATTGTAATCATTAAAGCAATTTACAGATTGTAAGACAGAGGTTTTATCCCCCAACCAAAAAAAGAATAATAGAGATGAAACTACTTGTATTGGATGTTTAGGCTTTCATATTAAAGACAATATATTTTCTTAAATTGTATATATATATATATATATATATATATATATATATGCACCTTTTGAAACACCAATTCTAAATACGTCACTTCAAACATTTCGGTATTTTCTAAATCAACAGTCAAAAAGTATTTCTCTTTTATTGATGTGTAGTCTGATAGAAATAAAGAAATCAATCAAGTTATAATCGATTGAAATTATCTGATTATTATTTTACTACAAACATGAAGGATTCTAATAACAAATAACACACAGCGAACATATATATCATTACTTTAAAACAACTAAATAAAATAATAACTTTACCACAAATGATACAAAGTATCTTTTAGTTGGATTAGAAAATTTTCAACTATCAGCAAAATATAGAACTGCATAAAATCTATTCATAGTTGTACATTTACAAATGAATAAACTATAAACACTCTAGAAGGCAAACATTGTTTCATAAAAGATAAAGAGGTGATACAAACATTACCATGCATACGCACACACACACACACACACACTAAACATGAATGATAGTTAGCATGGAAGAAAACAAAATAAGAGAAAGTTTACTTCAGGATCATAGTTGTATACGTATGTACTGTGGAAATAAATACCATGAACACTTATTCATTATTCAACAAAAGTACATTATTTTACTATTGTTATTATTATTGTATTCATCTTATTAAAATATATAATCATAATGTCAACTCTAAATAAACAACAACAACAACAACCACTGTAAAGTGAATGATAATATCACTAAATTAATATGAACTATAAGCAGTAAACAATAATAATTGTCAATAAATATAATAATTTTTCATCTGTTATTATCTTCAATTTACTAAATAAATTTAAGTGTACAAGTAAATTATTAACTGATTGAATGAAATGCGATGAAATTCTTTTCAATTCTTCTTTTTTCTTTTTTTTTAAAATGATCAATTATATTTATTATTTAATGGAAAAATTCTTTTTCTTCAATTAATTTCCACCATCTGTTTTATTTTTTCTTCACATCAGTTCAAGTAAAAAAAAACCCAATCATCAATTAATTATTTACATTATACGAGAATTGATAAAGGTTATTAAATTATTAGGAAAATAATAATAATAATAATGAAAAGATAATTAATCAAACTATTTTGTAAAGTGTATCATGGAATTTGTATGAAAGTAGTATATGATTATAAGTAGTATTTGAAGTAATTAGTTTAATATGCCTACAATATGATATTGTACGAATAATAATAATAATAATAAACATCAGTTTTTTTTAAAAAATACATTCGATAATTGAATGTATGTGTAAATAGTGAGAATAATCACGTTACAGATATTGTAAAAAGACAATGAAAACGTTAAACGTTTATATTCATGAAAGATACAGAAATTCATCAACAAAACATTGAGGATACGATCATTTACGTAAAACATCTATATGAAGAAATGAATGAGAACAGACAATTGTAGTTTGTTTTCATAATTCATTATAGTTGACATATTCGTATTTTCTTTTTTCTGAAATTACTGTTCGAATTCTACGAATTTTGCCAATGAAGGATTATTACGTATATCATCTGGTCCCAAAGTTTCAAGTAATTGAGTACGATAACGTCCCATTTCACGTTGCATAATTTCTATACATGGTCCCATAAGTCGTTCAAAACTTGATACATCCAGAACTAACAAAGGAAAGAAAGAGGATCTTGAGAGAATAACTCAAAAGATAAATATTTTGCAAATTCCATACACAACGAAACGAGCAGAGAGAAAATATGAAAACTGACATATATTTTAATAAACTGACTGAGGACGGTTAAGTAATGTAGTATATTTCACTTTCTAGCATTTGTTAGTGCATTAATACCTACATTATATTGATGTTAAGTGATGTAGTTTGAAATTACTTTTTTTTTAAAATCAGAGTTTGCAAGCATATAAACTTGTGGGACCAAATGTTTTTAAGCATTATCAGTAGCCAACATGGCAATTAGAAGTTCAGCAAATAACACATACATACATTAAGTTAAAATACATAAGCTTTAAATAATAGAATAGAATTGATAATCATCCAACAGTTTACGCTCCACTAACTAGATTTATAAAAGAAATTGTTTGTCTAAATAAACTTTCGGGAACAGTTTTGAAGCATTCAAATGGATGTTAGAGATTTATTAGTCATGTATCTCTTTGTGAGGTAGACCTTGACAATTTTATTAGTTATGATTTATTGAACATCGAATATGCCTAAAAATGTCTTTAGAAAAAAAAATACATCATACAACTAAATTACCATAAGAACATTCATTTATTGACTACTTGATAAAGCCTTGAAATTACAAACTTGTTGGACAGTAAAAATGTTTTTTCAGAATAATCAAAACATATATAGACCAACAAGACTTAAAATATTCACGGACCTGCAAGTTTAGTTCTACCAACAGCACGAGCTGATGCTTTCCTGGGTTCATGTAAAATTAACGCTAATTCTATTTGGAAAAGAAAAAAAAAATTATTTATTATGACCTTATCAGAAATCACATTAGTGAAGTCAAATATTTTAAAAAACTGATTCGTATAAACAAGTCTGTAGAGTCAAGTAAAGACTTCTCTGAAAGGAAAACTGTAGAATAATATAAATCACAAGCTGGTTATAAGCTTCAGGAAATAAAATTTGGCAAATTATTAGCGTATTATGAATCTAGTGTGAAGATACAATAAATTTGTCCGCACAAAGTCACACTATTTAATTAATATGAATTATAAATGAATCTGTAATGAATGAAAGTGTACCTTATCAATTCAATAAATAAAGACTAAATATCAAAAGCTTTCTATCTAAAATACTATTGTTACAGTGAACCTTAGGACATTTTGTTAGAAAGAGATCAAGTTATTTAGTTATTTATAAACACATGTAGGTTCATTTTTAAAGGATAATCACGACGACATCTCCTTAATTGATCTTTTCTCAAGACCATTTTGTGTTAGTTGATTGGTTGTGAAACGCATTTTGGATTATTTTGTTACGTGACTCAAGGTCATTCAGTGTTACAGTAAAAAGTTGTTCTTTTTTAAATATGACTTCTGTATGGAATACAAATTTATCCTCAGTTTCGTCTTCTCTATTGGCATATAGATTGTTAACGTCGAACTGTTGTTGTGTGATGGGCATTCAGTCTATCACAACTCCCATTGATTGGATCCTATTAGAAAAATCCTAAATCAATTGTAAATAAAATTTACTATAGGCTAACAGAAAAAACCAATTCCTTAATCATTAATGTAAATATTTAACGGAATATCAGCAAATTAACCAAGCTACATTTACACACCTGTAGATATATTTAAAAAACATACAGCTACGTCTCTGAAAAGAACCACGACATTTTTAGAATATAAACATGCATGATTAGTGATTAGCTGTATATTGTGATGCAAGTTATCACCAAATGTACTCTATAGATATAAGTGCTCAAACCTATTATATTGACGTTTTAATATATAACAAAAAATTATACAGATTTTAAGAAAAGTACTAGAAAATGATCAACATTATATTGCAACATAATACAGTAATGTACGTACCACCAAAATAATCATTCTTGTGCAGCTGTTTGAGTACGATTTCCTCTCCTTTCTATTTGTGAAAAAATTACATTATTAATGTAGTTAAACTCATTTAAAAAAAAGTAAAGACTCAGTAGGATTTTTTTCCCACTGAAATAAAATTCTAACCTATTTGCATTTTTAGAAATATTTGCTTATTTATTTAAACTTTTTTCAAAATAAGTAAACTATTTTTGATGATAAGAACAGATACTGAATCGCTAACAAATTGATTTTTTCCGTGTCCTTCATAAATAGAAGAAACAATTCACAAACGGTTTTATAAAAGATATTCGCATTGATTGTTATTTCTGAATATCAGTCTATAAATCTTAATGATTAATCTTGTATCAATCAGAATCCTCAGGTTCTCTGAAACAGTACCCTACAGAAACACATCGTATCATCATAAATTATGAATAAATGAAATAGTTGCTTAAATCGCCAAATCACTTTTATTCAGCAGACAATTTAGATAGTCCTCTTGAGCAATGGTATACAATGCACCACCCTATCTAGCTGAGCTACAATTTCATTATAATTAACCAAATCAGTTTTCTACTGTAATTGTACATTGCTTAACAACCTTGTAACAGCAATGATACCACGTTTTATGAGTTTGCGAAAAAAACGCTTAATATGGGGTCTCATTTAACTTAGTATAGATAATTGAATGAATGATATAGTAAAGGCTTGCTGTCAAACCTTCTATACAATAAGATCCGTCATTGAATTACCAGAACTAAGTTAAGCATCAAATAAGTTTTGTGTATAGTTACCAATACTGACATATATGAGAATATGATATGAGATAAACTGGCATTATTTGTATCCTTACGAAAACTAATTTATTAGCTAACAAAAACACACTGAGTACAAAATAGGAAACTTGTAAAATGACATTATGTACTGACAAAATGTAACGAATATGTCTTTTCAAATACATTACTTATGGAAGTTTATCATTAAGATTCTGAGTGTATTTACACTTCCAAATTCATTAAAATATAGTATTGAAAAACTATTATTTTAACAATAATATAAAGATGAATTCAAATAAATGCTACATACATAATACAACTAAGCTCTGTGTTAAGAATAATTTTAAATTGTGCTAGATTTTGACAAAAAAACTCCCTACTGGTTTTCCTTTTTTATAATCATATATGATGTGAAAGTCGTTTGTATTTCAACTAGTTGCTGGTATGTCATAGATCACAGCCAATGTTCAAGACAATACTCTCTTTTATAAATATAACAATGATATCTGAAATTCATAGGATATTATACAATCACATTTAGTAGTTCTGAATTCAAGATCAAAAACAACTTTTAAAACAGATATATTATCATAAACAATCTAGTCAGTGCGTAATTTATCTGAATATATCGAGTCCAATCTTTTTAGTGGTAATTACAAACTTCAAAACCAACTTTCTCGAGGTCTACATAACATTTAGATAAACACCATACGGATGAAAATTATACATATTTCCGCACTAAAAAATTGGTTAGTTATAAAACAAAATAGCCCACTTTTCAGCCTAATCATTAAACAGAATAAGTAGAAATCATTTCTTTCTTTAACTAATCAAAACGATATACAAACTTTGATTTTGTGCGATAAAACTGACGGCTAAATTAATACAGCATCAGTGTATTCTTTATCCAAGATAAAACACAGTTGAACTATGTTAATTATTGACTACTTTAGATAATCAATAATTATAATTCACTACCTCAATAAAAGATAAGCTACTGATGTTCTAAATATTGAAATTATACCAGTCGCCTAAATGAAGCTGAGAAGTAAAGAATAGTAAATTTTAATTATCTTAAACATTTTTTGTCTAATATTTAGTTGTTTAACGAAAATATTGCTTTCCAATGATTTTATTTCCAAAGCCGTGCAATTAAATACATACATATTCTTTGTTAATAATGATAATGTAAAATATGTTCGTTAATAACAACAATCCTCCGAATGAATTAAAAAAGCACAAAAATCTGTTTAGTCCAGAAACTAAAAAGAGAGTTTGTGACAGGTTGGCAAAAAGGGCATAGCGATGGTTACAATGATAAATTATCACATGAACACGGGTTATTCAACGAAAAGAGACTTATCACTCTGAATCATTGGCAAGGTAAATAGAAACCAGCAAGAAAAGAGATAGTACATATTCATTTGACATTTTGTATTGGTGATCTCCTTGGTATATACATATAGAAAACTCATATTGTGTATGAAAATAAAATCCTTCTACATGCTCGTGACTTGTAATTTTTACAAACCACATCCTTTCTCTGTCACGTTGTTAAACCCGAATAGATTTATTTTCATGACGTTTCCCCGATATGGTTACTATTTCAAATTTATTTTGTCATATCTACCGAACTTTAATAAGTTATTATGGGACAAATCGTTAACTTTTTAACCTGTAAATAATGGCGTCATTAGTATCTCAATAAGAATGGAACATTTTTGCATGACTATTTATTTCGTTAAAGCAATTGATAAGTTGTTATTATGAACAATCAAATAATAAAAATGGCGTTAAACATACATCGCTAGTTATTAAAACTAGCTACATGTAGATGGTGTTAGAAGAAACAAATAATTTGTGTATTCTGAAAAAAAAAAATCAATCCATCAGAGAAAAAGTAAGATATGGTAATCGGAATATCGTACATTATAAAAAACTTAATTCAGTGATATCACATAAAGGACAAATTATTAATATTGATAAACAAAATAAACAAATGATGAAAATATTTCTTACAGAATTCTTGGTAGAAATTACAACACATCCCTCCTCAATAAAGTACATTTCTTCTCCTGGTTCACCCTCTTGAATAATGCACGTCCCATCTTCATAGGTATGACTCCCAAGTGCATCCGCCAAATTAGTACGTTCGTATGCACTTAAACTCCCTAAAAGCGGAACTGAAGATAGCAAGTTCTCATAAAGTTGACGTTTTAAAAATGCCTGTCGCAAAACTATATGTTGGAACGTTGTTCGATCCAAAGCCCACAATACACCATCTGTTTTCGCTATAATGGTAGCCGCTCGAGGAGTGTTATACATAAGTGCTAATTCTCCAAAGGAACCCGATCCAGCATAACTTCCTACTATATTCCCATTTATGATTATATCATAGTCCCCACTAAAATGGAAACAAACCAGTTTGTCCCTTATGAGCAAACAAAGTACTTTAATGTACATATTTTCTCATACATATCTAACAAAACCACAAATAGAAATAGTCTCTTTTACAAACAAATAATTTAGTCGCAGAAACACTATCACTAACAACATATCAACATAATTAAAAAAACATGGTGAAGCTTTACCTATACAGATTAGTAATCTAATTAACGAGAAAACATGATAATATCTAGTTACGATAAATGAATATATATATATATATATATATATATATATATATATATATATATATATATATATATATATATATAAGCTAAGTTGACAACTATATTAGTTTACAGAACTGATAATGTTCAGTGAATTCGGAGACATAACACATCAAAACTTTGTTAAAAGAATTAGTAATCAATTTCTAAAGAAGATACAAATGAAAATTTTTTCTGTTATTTGTGGTTACATATAAACGGTGCCTTAAAATACTTTTATACTGTTAGATCAAAGGCATAGAGAATTAAATTATAACTATGAATATTGTAACTGGCATTATTTGGTGTATTACATTGCGGGTAGCACAGTGTAACATTAGTAAAACCTTAGTTCCACAGGAGAATTTATCTGATAGTGAATCCTACTATTACACAACAGAAAAATGCAAACCAACGTAAATGAATTACTACTATAATTCATTCCAAAAGCTCAGCTATAACACTAACAAATTATTTTGAGTTTAAATAAAAAACAAATATTGTAGCAGAATATCAGCTAAATTTATCTAAGACGTTTTTTGATATAATGTACATGTATGCTTGTTTCATTCTTAGTGATTAATACTATGGTTTTACGTTGTAAGCAGCCGGGAAAAATCCAAGATAAAATAAATACACTGCTTAAAATATTTGTTCTTTCCTTATTCACGTTTATAAATAAGAAAGAATTTATCGAAATATTTGTGAGTTGATAATGCACTAAAGCTATTACTATTATTAATGCAATGAGTTAAGATAAATACACAAATCAGTTCTAAACAAAATATTCGGGGGAAAATGTATGAATTTAACAAGAACTGTGATCTATCTACAAGTATCTCAGTTGAATAACTCTACTTTTCAGCACAGGTTCGCATAATTTATTTAACTAAAAGTTATTTCAAGAATGAACTGATAATGATTAAAAGGTTTTATACTTATTGAGAGACATGAAAATCCTTAGTTCAATCTGTCATGACCGTTGTTACTACCTTGACGTGGTGGTCGGGCTTGCCTATCGTAATGAACCAATCGAGCTATACTAGCTGGAACAATCGTTCCTCAATGTCTTATTATGCCAGACAGATCAGTTGAAGAGCGATAAGACTAAAAGCAGCAAATCAAGGTCTGAGGGCGAAGTCCTACTGCCGACTGTACAGAGGTGTGATGGAAGTAAAGTGTTTCCTTCATACAACCAGCATAACAGCGATGCTGCCTTCCCACAAGGAGGTGTCGGGTTAGAAAACGTCGACCCTAAAAATGCACACCTCGCTTTATCTCACGGATATCCGTCTCCGGAGGTAATGTCTCAACAAGTACAGAGCTAACACGAAAATTACCCACAAAAAGGTCGTGGGTGACCGATTTCAAGAAGTTGTCCCTCGAGCACTGCGGTCACGCTCTCAGGTCACTAGGACCACCTTTAATCCAATTTCTTTTTCAGGTACCTCCAGAAAAACCCTTCCACGGTGGGCAACCGGGACGTGATAACCGCCCTCATACCTAAAACAGCACTAAAGATAACTATTCAATCTGTGGATTTCATACTGTTTAATTCTTTTTGGTTTCACTAAATGTCTGGTTAAATAGAGTTTGTGATGTAAACTAACTCGAATCGATAAATTCTTGCTCTTCATTTACGTATTCAAATCGTTTAGAAACTTGGTCCCATAAGTCTTATATATTATTGTGGATGAACTCCAAGTTAATCCCATTGTATTCTACCAATTGCATATATAGAATATTCTTAAACAATTAAGTAATATAATCTAAGAAACATATACATTTTGATACAGTTCAAAATATGTACACTGATAATAGATTATATCTTATTAAGTAAGATTTACAGAAATATATACACATCAAATTAATACACATTAATTGAATCAGTCCGTTATTTATAAACACTCATAAGACAAAAAAAAGTATATTTTATAAACAACCAACAACGTTTTTATACAGTACACATTATAAATTAAAATTAATGAGTTTAATTTAGACATTTTTCACCTTATTTTTATTAATATTCGATCTGAACAATGATAATTACAAATTTCATTGTGAAGTTATTTCATTTTATAAATAGGATAGTACATAATGAAACGGTTAACAGTAACAACTTTCCTCAGCCAGTTTCTAATTACACTAAACTTTGATCGAAAGTATTGAAATTTCTCTTCATAAATGTAATGATATTCAATTTTAATAGGTTGTATTACCTATGTGTACGATTATGAAGTCAGCACTTAACGTAAATGTTCAACTGATACCCCCACTAAAGCCTAGCAAACATTAATTATTTATGTTCAGAAATCTAAACTTAACGACATCGCACAACTGATAATAAGTAGGATGGTTTTAGTTTCGTTCAGTAGAATCGTACTGATCTTATGAACTGATAAAATAAACTATACAGTATATTATTTTTCATTATTTATTCTCTACATTTGACAAATACTATGCTGTTATATTACCTAGCACCTTGAAAACTATCGGCTGTGTCGGTACTGATCTTTTATATTTATTATAAACATGATTAAGAATAGTTATTTAAGATCTTCAAAATAACTAAAAGGTGTTATTTTATCAAATACAAACCATTCGTTACACATGCAACTTCGTCCATGTCTATCATTAAAGAAAACAGGACTAATGACCACTTTGATCTATCCTCAAACAATTCAAAATCTTTAATAATGCCTTATATTAAGTGATGATAAAGCTATAAAATAAGAGCGAACACAAAACCATGGTGTTTGAAGATAGTTCTTGTATTTCTTTAGAAAATTTTAATTTTATTTGCGTTTTTGTATAATTATATGTGACTTCTAAAGTGGTACATGAATGACAAGAGAAACTTGTTGCAATATCCCTCTTACATTTGTTAACTTAAATTTCATTTTGATTACCATTCCATTTCAAAGGTAATAAAGTTATTCTAAAGAATTTCACTTATCCAGTAGGTTATTTCATATAACAAGCTTAGATACCCAAATTCCTTTCAAAACTGAAATTTCATTATTTACTCTTAATATTAATAAACTTTCAAGTTAGACAACTAATTCGTTCGGAAAAATAATAAATATTGGAATATACAACCTTATGGTAGTGTTATATTATTGTCAGTTACATCCAACTAATAACTCGTTACGGCATAGACATTTGAAGATTTCTCACTGCTTAATAAACAATTTAATTATAAGAAATTAACAGTAAAACAATCTAGCCCATTTATCCTATACATATTATTTTCTACTCCTTAAATTCTACTTATATTTCCAGCGTCTTAGCTCATTTAATACACTCACCTTTCAATTACATAAAAATAATCACCATCTTCACCTTGATTTATAATTACTTGACCTTTAGTCACAGGCGTTTCTTTTATCGCATCGATTACTCTTCTCAGTTGAATCTATTTGTTAAATATAAAGTGAGGAAAGAAAAAAATAATTAACAATGAGGATAAACAAAAAAGGATAATCTTATAAGATAACAGGTGAAAAACTTTAATTTTTATAGATGAAAGGATGTATCAGAAGTTAGTAGATCATTAATTTATCCATAGGAAAACTAATTTGAAACATTTAAACCGGTTTGTTGTAAAAATTATGTTCAGCAGTATTTTGTATGGAAAATTGATATTAATTGTGGTAATAGTGAAATCCTTAAACAATTTTCTTCTGAATAAAGATTAAAATTAGAAACCAAGTAGTATAATAGTCTTAAGCTTTTAGATTCCTTTTAGTCCTTTCAGAAACTACTAGTGACTACTTAATGGAAGGTGACATGTTATACAGATGTATAAAAAAATGAAATTCCAAACTAATCAGTGACTGTATAAAACCAACACATAGATAATGGTTGTCATTTCACTCTAACCCAATGAATATACCAAAGCCAAAGACGACACTTTGTTGCTTTGATTGTAAATTAAATATGATTTTGAATTTGTTATATCCTAACGAAGAATACATGAATGGTAATTGCTAGCAAATTTGGACTGTGGGCGGCAGTAGAATTCAGGCTGAGTGTTTCTGCCTATTAAGGAGGAAATCAGAGAATTTTATAATATAAACCCAAAAATGGTTTTAAAAACCTTTTAAAGAATTCGTGGTTAGCCACGATGAAGTCAACAAATTGGAAGACTAGGATAGCTGTAATGTTCAGTAAAAAATAAAAAATCCATTTTCAAACAAGAGACGTTTTGCTCAACCTTAGTTTTATTTCCACAAATGAATAACTTTAAATCACATAATTCTTGCTTTGATCTCCTTTTCTTAAACATATTTTTTTCATCTTCATTTTCTAAAAAGCCAATTATGTGAAACATAGATTACTGCTAACAAGCATTTAAACGCTATGTCAAGTATGTTTCCGCTCCAATTACTTAGAAAGCTATTAAAAATTAGTGGTTTCTAATATAGTACATTTTTGACTTGTCCAAACTAATAAACATCAATTAGTGTGAGTTCATCATCAAATATACTGTTTATAATTCCGGCTATAAGAAGTATAAAAATATTTGTAGGGATGTTATACAGACTACATACGTGTTATGCTCAACCATATACATGTTGTCAAGCTAACCTAAAAAAATCCTGCTATATATATATTTATATACGAAGTATTTATCAAATATAATAAATTATTGTGAGTAGAATACAGTCTTGATTAAAGGTGAATAAGTGATAATAGTCATGAGCCTAAGTTGATTTTTTCCATAATTAGTCAAATGCAGAAGAAAGGTAAGAAATATTAAGTTTCGAATATGATTGTTAACTATACCTAGAGCCCCACAGGACTACTGTCGGTCCTGACAACGGATAAATGACGATGGTTGAGAGTAGGGTTAGTAACCCCATTACTTAAAATAAACCTAGCTTTAAAAACGCTGGCCAGAAAAAATCATTTACACCAGTCAAACTCTGCCCTGTGAGTTAAAGGGTTTTCATGTAGAACAGTTATGACGCCTAATCATAAAAGCCAAGGTTCTTCTGAAGTCGCGGAGCCAATGCCCCTTCTAATAGATAGAGCACCAATTATTATGGGTAAATGAAATGTTTGGAAAACGCGAGAAACTAAAAGGTTCATTCAAATAGCGGCGGATATATGATGCAACTTGGCTCGCCTTGAAATAGGTGGAACACACTGAACACAATCTGGACAGAAAAAACCAACTTCAGGAGAGTTGTCATTGTATTCTGAAGACGGAGAATAAAGTTCTTGTTCTACGCAAAGCATTTCACTGATACTCTCCAAAGAAGCATGGAGAAAGCACTTATAAGACAAGAATCTCACCTTAGCATTCTTTAAAGCCAAAAATATGAAAGGATTACAATGAATATCATCCAGGGCTACGCTTCCACTTACAATAGCAGCGAAAATGGTGGAGAACAGTTTCGTGGCAGGCAGTAGTTCATGTCAGAAAAACACTCAGGAAAGCACCTGACTATTCTGATGGAGGATCTAGATGCCAAAGTCGGCATGGACAACACTGGATATGAATGCACCAAGGGGTGACACAGGCTGGGAGAAAGAAGCGAGAATATTGTGTGTCTGGCAGTTCTGTAAGCTTTAAACAATAATGTCATAGGCGGCAGCACTTACCCTCACAAAGGCTGCCTACTCTTACTTCCGATTGTCAATTGGATTATGGTGACCCCCACACTTTAGGAGAAGCAGAAAATACAGAAGAGACACTTTAGACACAGCAGCGTGACTTCGTCTTTGCAGATAGCTTAACCGTGTTATAGCGTACGTAGCCACACATACATACAAAGAATTCAAGTGTAGCAGCGGCTTCAGGAGCATTAGGGTTCAGCATATACAACAGTCGGGACCAACCAAATCACATTTGATGGTGAACTCTGAAAGAGATGGGACCCTTTATGTAATTGGGCAGTACCAGTGCTAAACAAACAGTACCTGATGCAGCTATGATGGTATAAACCAATATAACAAGGACAATATTTGTACAAAAGAATAATATATGAAACTCAAAAGAACTGTCAGCCAACACCAAATTTAGAATTCTCAAAATTAACGTTAAAATAGTTTTATTGCAGAGGTCTAAAATTCGAAGGACTATCATCACTGTTATCATAAATATACAGGTACTCATTAATAGCTGTTTGCACAAGGTATTCCAGATTTATTGGCCAAAGATCACCAGTGGTAACATACTGTTGTAGAAAAAAAGCAGCTACCAGTTGACGAGGAAATCGGGAAAAGACGATGGAAATGGATAGAACATACTATGCGCGAACCACGCAAGTGCATCTTAAGGCGAGTTACAACTTAGAATCTTCAAGGCATACCAGAGAATACAAAGTGCCGACAACCTGAGGCAGACATTAATGCCATAAATAGCACTTGACTTCCAGACGAATACTTTAATAATGTTTGGAAATACTCACTGTGCCACTTCAAATATTAAAACAATTTTTCTTTATGAGTTTAACTCGAGATTAACTATGTGGATGCATCAGAATAATTGTTTTCATGTTTCCTGTACAACAATTAGAAAGTTGAGAAGTCCTACTGTTAGCAATTCATCTCACTGAAAATCAGCATTGTCATAAAATCTTAACCAAAAATTGGATTGCACGAACAAACTTCCCATAACTCACCTCATCCAATGAACGAAAAATGAAAATTGGTTTAACGACTGATGCTAAACGAAGTTTTTGTGCTACAGACTTTGGATGAACAACAGGTTCCAAATCAGTTATCGTGGCTGGATTAAAACTTTCAGCTGCCACTAAAAAGTGGGAACAATCAGGATGAATAGGTTACTTATCAACTAAATTCACAGTATATTGTTAGTGAACCTCGTTCAAAACAAAACAGATAACTAGGTAAAACAATCTGAAACGGTATCGGTCAAATGCATCAAATTCTTGATGACTTCGATAATCTTAAAGTAATATCAAACTATGTAAAAAATCATAAATTTTCTAAATTCCTTTGACGCTAAAATAGTTAATTGGTTCCGATTTGACTAGAAGAATATACTTTAAGTTTAATACAACGACAAAATCGACAACAGAACGACGTTCTATTGTAGTATCCTTAAAAGTACATATGGAGATGGACATATATTATATAAATACATAGTGATATCATTGATAATCTGACATATTAATCCTTTGGATTTTAAACAAACATTTTAAAACATAGTCTCAGAAACCAAAATACTTGACTAATAACTCATCCTTACTTTATTATTCCCGATTTCATTTTCTTTGGATGACATAGTTCCAGATATAATCCGGATAAATACATGACTCAAGGTTTAATATAAGTATACATACCAATCTTGGCAGAATAATAATGAGTATTAGAAAAGTATAATAATTACGTATCAGCTAACGAAAGCTACTAGAAAAATAAAAGTCACATTTTCATTTACACAAAATACAGATCCATACAATAGAAATAGAACAAAGGTAACGAGACCGAAGGTACTGAGTTCGAGTCCCGCATGCGGGATCGTGAATGCACAATGCTGAATCCTATACTAGAACAAAACGGCAGTCCAGTGCTTCCAGGTTTCCAATGGTGGTCTGAAAATTATCAGTTGGAGATTTATCTCAATTAAAAGTCGACAATCTCCACAACCCTGTACTGATAACTTCAACATCATTGTAGCATATTTAAATTCAGCCGTGTTACTTTAAACAAATTGCTAACAAGTTCAAAAGCATACTTTTGGCAACGAGCAAAACTAAAGTAGGTGTTCATTTTGCAAAAAGCCCAATATAAATTGAAATAACACTTGGTATTATTTCACTAACTTTGACATTAGTTGATAATAAAAAAACATGACTTTATACAGCCCATTTTAACGTATTACTTAATTGTAATACCTTTTTTCCTCCAAGAAACACTAGATCATTATTACTAAGAGTGGAGTTTACGACTATTATTTAATTGAAAGTCAGCTTTAGTTAAAGAGATGGAATCAACTTAGAAGTTATTGAAAACTAGACAACACTGAAGTTATTTTGCCTGTGTTGAGGACTCCTTCGAAATATGTTCTCCTAACAAAACAAAATCCTTAAAGCCTTAGATTGAGCATATTATTCGTAGACTATTGAATACGAACTCAGTTGTTCACACTAACGACTTCAGTCTATTCGAGATAATGCACAAAAGATCACTAATAAATCTATTCATATTTATCTCAATCCGATATTATTAAAATTCACAAGTTACAGGTGTTTCATGGAACTAATGAAAATTCAAGTGAATTTCAACAGTTCTGAAGTCAATATTATTCAATGATGAAGAAGAATGCTTACGTAAATATATCTTTATATATTTAGCTGATTGACGAGTCGTATTTTAGGTAATTTACTACTAAAACAGCATCATTTTGAAGTAAATGAAATTACGAATAAAATGATGTCACCGTATAATTAATAATATATGAAAACTTAAATTATAACTACTAACTGCTACGTTTTTCTATTTGATCTCACCAAAGACCTAAGGGAAATCAATTCATGATAAATTTATATTTACTTTTGGAGTGACTTAAAGAGTTATTTTATCCTATGACAGTGATTTACATTTATAACTACTGATGTAATTGATTACAAGACAAAAAAAATTTTCAAGTCATTTATATTTTCAGTATGGGGATTTGTGGAGATTGTAGAAATTCCACGGTTGAATTCAAGAGTCAATATGAGCTAAACCACCATCTAAAACCTGGTAGCACTGAATTGCCACTTCGTCCTAGTATGGGACTCCTCAGCAGTGCGCGCACACGATCTCTTAACCTCTAGACCAATGAATCAGCATCCAAATTTATCAATATGTAACTTCATTTTTATTTCCGTGAATACTTCTGTCGGAAAATATTATATCAGTTGAATAATAATGATAACAATATTACAGTTTTATTTCAATGAACAATTTGAAATTTTAGTGCTAAAAAGTGGTACAGTAAGTTAAGCGTTCGAGCGCGAGACTGAAGGCCCTGAGTTTGAATCCCATGAGCGGGATCGTGGATGCGCACTGCTGAGGAGGCCCACAATAGGACGAAACGGCCGTTCAGTGCTTCCAGGTTTCCAACGGTGGTCTAACATCAATCGGTTCATGATCTCAATCAAAATCTTAATAATCTCCACAATCCCTATATTGATAAAATAAAAATATTGACTTAAAAATCTCAATGTAATTAATAGAAAAGTTTATTGACCAAATTAATGGGATTTAATCCATTAAATTAAAAATATATCTGTAGATAGTAGTAGCAGTAGCCTAGTTGGTAAAATGTATAGACTAGCCGATTAATCAAAAACTAATATTATACGTTATTATGCAATGAGATTTTTGTTAATAAATTAAACAAATTTAATGATCAGGGTGTTGATCTCTTTTAGAATAAATCAAACCTACTTTCATTTTAATAAGTTTATTATATTTATTGATTTTTTGTTCATATCTCATTGAATGTTGTTAGCTTTTCTTTCAATCTAACAACATGGTTTTTAAAATGAAAATTTCATTTATGATTTACATTAGATAAAAAGTTTCTGGGTGTTCTTATTTGAAAAATTATAAGTATAACATGAGACTTCATTTTATATTTACGTCAAGTTGAAATTGACTGATCAGACATCTACTTTCAACAGAGTATTTGTACAAACATATTTTGTAAATTGATTTGTTTACTGTCGCTATTAAATTACAGAAAAAAGGTCAAGCATAAAGAAACCCCAATATGATTTACCTAAAGTCAGACAAATATGTCATTATGTAGTGATTCTTCTTTTTTTCTATATGAAGCTAAGCAGCTAAATATAACCGTATTTCTATTTTGATACAATAATCAATGAGATTCAATATAATGAAGCTACGGGTATTATCTACTGGGCTACGAATTTATAATGGTTGTCTCCTAATATATATATGGAATTACTACTTTAAGCTTAAAGTAGTAATTCATATTCATAGGCGTTATAGCTTCATGTTGTGTATCACAAAACTAGTCATTTCTTTTTAATACGATTAAATAGTTGTTTGCCATTATATTTTCTCTGAACAATGATATGTACAAAATGAATGTTATATTGGTTTATTGCATTTTGTGTACATTTTATTTTATTCAAAAATACTATGTATTGTTATTTTGATTTACATTATATATAGGAATGAAAATTCACAATTACAATAATGGTTTGCTAGTTGGTGTATATAGGCATAGTACATATGTTATTATCTTAAATTAAAGCTTTACATTGATGACTTGTGATATCTATCTATTCTGCTAACGTTTGCTTATTAACATATATCCATATCTGTTTATTAAGAGATAACCATTATAAATTCGTAGCCCAGTAGATAATACCCGTAGCTTCATTATATTGAATCTCATTGATTATTGTATCAAAATAGAAATACGGTTATATTTAGCTGCTTAGCTTCATATAGAAAAAAAGAAGAATCACTACATAATGACATATTTGTCTGACTTTAGGTAAATCATATTGGGGTTTCTTTATGCTTGACCTTTTTTCTGTAATTTAATAGCGACAGTAAACAAATCAATTTACAAAATATGTTTGTACAAATACTCTGTTGAAAGTAGATGTCTGATCAGTCAATTTCAACTTGACGTAAATATAAAATGAAGTCTCATGTTATACTTATAATTTTTCAAATAAAAATACCTAATGCTAATGAATAATCGCTAAAGATGCTGATGACTTGAGCAGTACACTTTATTGACTGACAATTATTAAACTATAAATTTGTAGATCATACTTTCGATTAAATATATTATTTATCATTAAGGAAAATTTTTGAATTAGTCTATTTTTTACTCAATTTTCGTTTCTAAAATAAGCAGTACACTATTTATATCAATCTTATCCCATTCTTTTTTTTGCTTGTAAATGATTTTCAACAATACTGGATTTTTCATTCGTATACATAGTTCTCTTTACAATCTTGAAGAGAGCAAGAACAAAGATTTGAGCAGAATAGTATGAATTCATTAAATTTACTTTGGTTCTCGTTATATGTTTACAACATGTAATATTTATAATTCATAATTACAAAATGGGCTTAAATTACTTGCAAGAAAGAGCTTAGTTGGAAGCTACTTTCAAGATATATCAGTATAGTATAGTAATGGTGTCAATAAATTAGATAGACTGAAAAAATATTGTAAATATATACTTTATATACAACACTGATGCTGACAAAGATCTAAAGTGCTAGAAACAAGTGGTTAGGTAATGAGTAAATGCTGATCATAAGAATAAAATGAGTAAAGCCCAGTTACTTGAAATAAGATTGCCAATCTAGAAGACAGTCGAAATGAAAAGACGTACTGATGTAATTATTTGAAGGGAAGAGTTGAACAAAATCTACATGATGTAAAGAACTAATATTTATCACCAAGGTAAGGAAAGATTAACAACCATCTCCTTTAGAAAACATAAATCAAGTTTCTGACTCCTTATAGCGATTGCTTTAGCAAACTTCAAAAAACTGGAGCTTGACTGTTTATTAACTACCTTGAAAGATTCCATGGTATCAACCTGATGTCCTGTATCCAAGAGATGTTTAGTAATTGCGTTGTTCAAAGTAGTTCACTATCTCTCTCTCTCTTGTTCGGTTTTTTGGAACAAACACTGAGTTTAATACTGGATTTCGTTTCGTTATCTTTATTGAAAATCATTGAGACGCGAAAATATATATATAAACATTCGGTAGTATATATATATATATATATATATATATATATATATATATATATATATATATATATATATATATTACTTCAATTTTGAACAAGATAAAAATGAACTTTCTTTTTTTCACTTTAAACTACTCATAAAAGACAATGGAAAGATTATTTTCATATGTGACCTTTATTTTCACGATCTTTTGAAAAGTACTTTTCTCATTTGATTAGTAAAAATGAAATAAAAATTGATAAACAGAAAATTTAGTTGAATAAACCAACAACGATGGTGAAGCTAAATAACATTTGATGAATATAGTTTAGGATTTAAAATAAATAATATAGGAAACAATGAAGTCTTTTACAAGAGATAGTTTATAATTGACTGATCACCGAGTAGGGACCAATGTCAGATCTGTCAAGTCCTTCTTAGTGTTGATCAAAGTCTAGGTGACGAGGGGTCGAATCCGCCAAGGAGCAACAATTCCCTCAAGATTACATGTACATGTTGCTGACGAGTGTCAACAGCACGAAACTTAGGTCCAGGGTATTCTGTAGGCTAACTTCAACCACCAGCTTATAAGACAATACTTATTTGAGACATAACAACTAGGTAACTTGTATCACAAAGTCTATTTTATAAGATGCCTAATAACCATAATTTGATTTATGAGTTTTAAAACGAAAACAAGTTGTCCTACGCAAGTTAAATTTATGAAAGTAGATGTCCAATGAAATTAGTCCCCTTGATAAACTTTTGTAAAGCAAAAATGAATATAGGAGATATTTACAATTATTTCTTTTCAATAGTGAACTAAATGGACCAAAATGAACGAAATGTTACATGTAAAATTACAATTGTAAAACATTTCATTTATTTAGTTGACTTAGAGCACATGAAATGAATTCACTTCATTTCACAATGTTCGTTATTCTTGTTCTGTATGCTGACGTATTCAATCAACAACATGAAATATTTTTTAAATGAAATAAATACTAACAAATAAAAAAATTACCGAAATATTTACAATGCTTTATAAAACGTTTTAGAACAGGATGGGATTCCCTTCATAGTATAGGCATCCTCAATGACGATTAACCTCTGAGGCATACAGTACTTCAAGGCTAGACAACAAGAAAGGATACAACAGATCAAAATCCTAACTTTGGTTGCGATTTATTTTAACGAACATAGAAGTCCACTGTTTATACTTACTCCCCTTATATATATATATATATATATATCGGCAGATAAAGTTTGGTTTCATAACTTGATTAAGAGATGTTAAACATGAACTAACATATGACAATCAAAATTATTGATTCATAAGTTCTTTTATTTGATTGAACGATTATTCATAAATTGATGAAATATTAATAAAATATTCTCATCTTGGTTGGATAATTTCATAATAATGAAAAGTTTGGTTTCCAACTAGCTTGTCAGTGATTTTATCCCCTGAAATCTTCCAAATTTGAATGAGCAATTTGCTGATGTGGTACTTTAGTAAAATAGCAACTAACCCTCAGATATTTCGGTATTTTAATCGTGTTACGCTGGCATGTACTACATTAATTCATAAAACCCAACTACTTCAGCTGTTGTTAAAACCATGATATAATGTTTTTAGGTGATAGACGTCATCTAGAAGGTATACTAATCAAGATGGCGAAAGTCTAATTAGGGTCATTAAGATAGTCGTGTTTCAGAAAAAGTGAATACGGACAAGACAAAAATTCTTTTTAAAAAAATCCAACTTACCACTGTGTCGACGTGCACCAATATAGCCTACTCGATCTGCAAATAAATAACATCAAAACAGATGGGACTTAATGCAATTTATTTAACATGCTGGCAAATACAAATAAATATTTAAAGTAAATTACAACATATGGAAACACTAAAAACATATGGTTTAGCAACATAATTTCATGTATGTACATAGCAACGACATCAACACATCAATATTTACAGAGTATGAAATATTTGTTCAAGATTACTTTCAAAGCTTATAAACCAGTTATCATATACAACAACAAAGAATAACATCTTAAAACACAACGGTTACTGTTAATATATCAGAAAATACTCAGTGTGATGAGATCATTGATTGGAAACACCTGATTAAAAAGAGTGGGTGCATTTAAATTAACTTTATCTATATAAACTGCGAAATCAAAATGTTCCGTATTCTACTGCTAACACTGAAAATTATTGTTTAAGCGATTGATAAGCTAACTGATTCATTTGAAATTAGAAGAAAAAGTCAAACAACCAGAAACTAGACAAAAAGACTTCTTTTTACCGTCCAGTAGTCAAATTTAAAGGAGAAATTCATCTATACGTTAATTTACTTCCAACCCTTTTTTGATATGGTTTAACTTTGATTACTTTAAAATATAACAAAGTTTTATCAATATCTTGAGAAGAGGCCTAAGTATTGTGATATGTTCTTTTCGAGAATCTACATACTTAGGAATAAATAGGAATCAGTAAAGTCTTCCTAAAAGCAATAAAAGTATTTGTTTTACAAATGGTTACAGGTGAATGAGTGTCTTTGATGAGACAAGAAGGTTGGAACTTTCATATGATTCACAAATTTGAATTATTTTACTGCCTTTGTTAATGTGGTCACTACTTTATTATGAAACATGATGTAAACGCATACACGAAAAGTCAAAATGGTAAACGTCAGTTATTATATTTTTGGATTGCAAGACAGAAGTTTTAAAAGTATGATCATCTTTTATCTATTTACTGCTATTTAATGACAAAGTCTGATTAACTCGACTGTTATTTGTATGGCCTATGAAAACCACGTGGGACATATGAATAAGCTTTTCTTAACATTTCAATATAACAGAATTTTTTGTCAATTCATTAACTTTTGCTTTAATTGAATTTGTTGTATAGATTAGTTCCTTGCAAGGTTATTGAGGATACATCCTAATGTCGAAGCATTCACACGTGTAAACAATTTTCAATAAAGTAGCATCGGGTAATGAAAAGCAACAAAATTCAGTACACGGATTTCCTACATTACTCAGTACCTTTTGTAGGCTGTATTATCATATCTAACAAAAATATGTGTGATGAATACTACTTATACTAACAGATATAAGTAGTATGCAATAGCAATCAGATGTGGAATACATGCCAGAAGGAAAGGAAACAGCGAGTAATTATAATAAAAATAGAATTGAAAGAATCATGAAGCTTGCAAAGGACAACTAACGGAAGATGTGTAAATAATGTATTGAATGTGTGGTTTTCATATTTTACCAAAGCACTCTGTGATTTTGCGTTAAACAATAAATTGCTTTTTCTCTGTCTGAATTCTCGTACACTACACATATACTGATCAACTCAAATAAATTAACTCTGATGCTTAAACAGTAATTACTGGAAACTTATCTCAGTTGAAACATGAAAGCCGATGTATTAGATGATAAAACCAAACAAAAATGTTCTCAATTCTAGTAAAACTTCTTAGCTTGTACGCTAGGTAGTTATTTCGTCATAGCTTAAAGATTAAACTTTGAGTTAGATCCATACAGCTAAGTCAGTCAGTCGGTTAAACAAAATCTGTCTTAGTATTTATCGAAATTGCCATTCATAAAAGAAGTTTTGCCTTGCATTTTTGAATACAGAAGTTGGGAATGCCTGTTTTTGGTCTAATAGTTAAACCCACTAACACTTACAGCCATACAGCATACAACTACTGAATTCATTGCAACACCATTATGACATAGACATTCCCGATCCCTTGTTCAGCTCATATCACAAAATACCCCATAGAGATCGCGATGTTGTATTGGTCTGTTATAGTAATACAAAATAAAAATGCATATTCTATACCATTTAACTAAAAACAATCAGGTACTCCAATATAACACAAAATCCATTTCGAATCGATTTGCACCCCATATACTAACCACAAATTCAATATTCTAGTCTAATATTCATAAGAGCGAATTAATAAAACGCCCGATTTTAAAAATAACCTTTCATTGTTTAAAATCTGAATGTCGTTTGAGGTCATGGTAAATTTAAGGTCATATATATATATATATATATATATATATATATATATATATATATATATATATATATATATATATATAGTTTGTTTAAGTGAACAGATACAAAACAGGGCAGTCCAAATAAATATAAACTTGAATTAACTCAACAAGAGTTTGACTAACTATTTGTTACCAATCTACATGGATCATCGGAAAAAAACAAAATTAGAAATATTTTTGTGAATATCATGAAAACTGAGCATGACTTTTCAAATGTGTGAACTGAAATAAAGGAAACCAACGACCTAAAGAAAGAATTATCATATCAGATAAGTTGTTATGCATATGCATAATACTCCCAACAGTGATAATTTCTAGAGAGAAAAATAAAACTAACGGCATTCGTGAACTTTAAATCAAGTGATATGTCTTGACTATAGGTTACCTTGTTATTCAGGGACCCTCAAGTATATGATTTTTTAACAAATGTTAGACATTAAAATTATGGATCGATCTATGTAAGACAAACATTTAGGACCTGGAAGCATTGAAGGACCGTTCCGTCCTAGTATGGGACTCTTCAACAGTCAGCATTCACGACCCCTCATGTTGGAGTAGAACTCAGGACATTTAGTCTCGCGTGAGGATGCTTGACCGCTAAACCATTGAGCCGGGATCCAAAGGTAATAATCTCTAACTTCAATCAATCCATGAAATTGCGCTACTACCATGTTCGCGTGCAAAACTGAATGCCCTGGACTCGATTCCTGTGTGCAGAATAGTGGATGTGCAAGGTTGAACAGTCCCGTACTAGGTCGAAGTAGCACTCTAGTGCTTTCAGGTTTTAAATGTTGGTCTTACATTGATCGGTTCATACTTTTTTATGAAACCCGACAATCTTCATAGCCATATACTTACAATAGGACATTAAGTTTCGATCCGATGAAACAGACTTAAAAACAATTAACTTCACAATAATTTCAGTTTATAAACAAAAAAAACGAAAACGAAAAAGTTATAAACTAACAATAATGCTCAACATGATAAAGTGATCTAAAGTCAGTTATAGTTTATGTGAAATGGACAATGCATTAATTTATAAAAATTATTACAAGATTGATTTAATGTTTAACTTCGCATTCATCATAACCTTCGTAAACCACTATGAGTAGTACAAATTGTAAATCAAGTGTGTAAATAAATGCTGTCACCTTTGCAATTTAATATAAAAGTAAAATTCAGGGAATTAATAGCACATAACCATAATTGAGAAATTCGATAAAAGAGATTAAATTACAAAAGTATTTGTGAGTTTTATTTAACAGTTAAGTATATATTTTACGATAAGCTAATTTGCCAGATATACCTCAACGGAAGTTTCACACATCAAACAATTTAGAATTGTAAAAATATTTGTAGGAAATTAATACGTGCGTGCCATGGGCATTGTTGTATGCGATAGCGGAAAACATTAGTGAAGCTTACAGTAACGCATAAAATGGTACAGAACGGACTTCCTTCAGTGAAGACAATATAAATATATTTAAGTAATTTTTAGAAATCATATATTATACCAACAACTTTAGTTTATGATTAAGATCAAGTTACTGACAGACATGCAATCTCATATAAGAGTTCATCAGTTGAAGTTATTACCTATCTGAACATTATAACACAAGTAAACATCGCAAAAATAACACAGTGTTGCATCAAAAGAAACAATGAGAGGGAATTGAAACCCTACAATATAGGACATTAAAATTGTTTTACGGGTGATATGTACATTTTAATTTATTCAGTCGGATTATCTTCAACTAGCTAAATACAAATAATATTACATTCAAATTAATCTTTTAAACAAAAGTTTTAGTGGAGTAAGATAATCAAGTACAGAAACTGTTACAATCAAATAATATTTGCAATTAACACATCCAAACTACATTCAGGAGTTTAACTATTCCGACCTAATACTTAACAATAATCTTACTATAACAGAAATTATATTTTGTATTAAATTTCACCTAATTAGTAAACATAATGTCACATACGCACTGAGTCTTAATTATGAATCATAAGCAAATTAATAGCAAACATTTGATATTTTTAAATATATATACCCTTGTAGTATGTTGGATATACAATATAATCATCAATGAACTAGTCAGGATATCTAACACAATAGTTTATTTTAGTAAAATTATTTAAAATGTTGAATTAGTGATGTTTTTAATAAAATGTCTACACAACACAAAATTTGGTTGAAAGAGTTCTAGATGAAATTAATACCAGCCGAAATATTATTATAACTTGGGATTGGCAATATAAATGCTGACTCCTTTAAGTCACTTCTTCAATATGCAGTATTCAGTTAGTTCACTACTCATTATTAATGCGACTAGATACGTATGTTCATTAAAAAATTCGAAGTTTAATGAAAGGATTTCTTTTCAACGAATTGTATGTATATGAAATTTAAGGCTTCGTTCCGTGTAGAAATGTGAACAGTGGATAAATATGATGACGCAATAAGAATGAATACAATATCAGGTCATATAAAGCAATTAATAACAACAGTGTGTGTGAGTGAAGAAGATATGCAAAACCTACAATTTAACATTAAATTATAATGTAAATCCAGTAAAATAATCAAATTAATTTTTAACTCAGTATTTAAAGGTATCAAAAAGATTTAGTGAAGTGATATTGGAAAGCACTATGAGTAACAATAATATGTTACCGTCGAGGTAAATACAAAGGTAAAACATACTTCTCTCG